AGCGTGGGAAGTTTAAGAAGATGAGACTGTAACCACCCTAAGGAATTCAGGGTATTGTGGCTTGCTGGTTTGGGAACTTAGGTTCAGTCTGGAGAGATTTCTGTACTGAGGTGAAGCTAATAAACTCAACAGAACTGTACTGCATTGTCTCATGGAGTTCTTTGGGCTGAACCTGACACCTTCCTATCTTTTATGGCCTTCCTCCCTAAAATCCTGGAATTAGGGCTGTGGAGCTCATCAGGTGCAACAGTGCAGAAATCCCAATTAATGCCAACAAGTGACTCTGGATGGCTCACAATTAGAACCAAAAACCCATGAACAATTAAAAAATATCACATAGATAATTAAACTTAATTAATCCATTAAAAAGTCAAACTGTAAAACAAACCCTGTACAGAGTTAGAAGAGTACTATCTTTTCTCAAGGCTAAATATATTTAACTCCTTCGATCTCCCTTCATGGAACTTCATTTCTGGTCTCCTGATCATCCTCAGTTGTTTGGAAGTACGCTGGACTCCATGTTAGTGGAGACCAAACCCCAGAGAAGCATCTTGCCCAAGGGGAAGAATGAGGAATGCAGGCATAAATCTTTGGGTTTTCATAAGCCTCCATGGCAAAGTTCTTCCCATCGCTTCCAAGTCCAATAGTCCACAGGAATAAGAGAAGCAATGAGTCCTCTCCCTCAGGTTTTCCCATCCAGCCGTGGGTTTTGAAAAGGTGGAAAGGAGACATAGGATGGCACAGAGGAGCAGAATCATGCTGCAGGAAGGTTTCTGAGTTTTTCTCGGCTGGGTTCCAGACTGATGGGTGCAGTGTACAGTGTCCAGGGTTATGTTTTGGTGTCCGTATTTATCCAAGGAAGAAATTTAGGTTCATTCCCTGCTCTCTGAACCAAACATCACCTTATTCTCCAGGCTGTTCAGCATAGCACCAATGCATTCTGCTCCAGACGAGCAGAAACTCAGGTGGCTACCTCCCACAGAATCCTTATCCAGGGGAAAAAAAATGAAGCTGGTGAAATGTATTATGAATATATGCTTACATGCCAGAATGGAAGGGAAGGCTACAGCAGATCATTAATTAGTTTACAGTTTGATTTCCATCTTGGTTTCACAAGTGGGAGGTGAGCACAGGATCCATTTGTATTCCAGGAGAGTGGTGTTGAAAAATTTAATTTTCATTTAAACACATGTTGAGTTGGCGAGTGAGTTAGCATATTTTCTGAGTTCACACAAAACACGGAGGCACGAAAAAACCCTAGCTGCTAATGCCACCCAAGCTTAGTAGGTGGTGGTATGAACACGGCCAATGTGTTCATACCTTTTACTGTTTTTTATATGTAGCTGTTTATATGGGTTTTTTTTCAATTGTTGTACGCTACCCAGAGTCACCTTGTGAGAGATGGGTGGCTATATAAATTGGATGGATGGATGGATGGATGGATGGATGGATGGATGGATGGATGGATGGATAATTATCATGAGTAGGAACCATCACTAGCCACCTCCTTCAGGAACTCATCCAATCCCATTTGTGGCACTGCTCTAGAGTTATGCCATGCACGAAGAAGTCTCTGACTTGAAAATTCTCACCTGCTTTCCTTGTGCACTGGGAATTTCTCCATTGGAAATTCCCAGTTTCTGGTTATATAGATTGTACAGATTGTATACAGATCACACAATCTAAGAACTAGGTGTGGGTTTGCATGAAGGGCGTGTATCAGTAAAAAGGCTTTCATGAAATTGGCACCCACTCAGAGTACATGAACACAGCATGTGATTCATCTGAAAGCTCTGAAAACCAGACCTTGTTCTCTGTGCTGGAACAAAGAGTCCTCAGGACCTCTCCTAACTACAGGATATCCATGTTTGGGGTCTGACTCTTCTGGGCTGAAAAACTTCCTTGCAGGCAATGTGTAGAGCAACAATTTCCTTTCCTACCCCTTTCGAGTAAGATTCAGAAGTTTCCCACCAAGTACCATCTGTTTATGCAAACCCATTTCTTTGCAACCTTTTTGCACCAAAGCGTATGTTATTTCCTTATTTCATTGCTGCACTAGTATTTGTGCTTGTACTAGATTGTCATGCCTCCTTGAAAGTGTATGCCTTTGTGTGAGTTTATATGTAAAATGTCCTATATTGAAGCAAGCTGTTAACTTCAAGGACTGTGTTTTGCTTTATTTAAGGCAGGGTTTCTCAACCTTGGCAACTTGAAGACGTGTGGACTTCAACTCCCAGAATTCTGGGAGTTGAAGTCCACACGTCTTCAAGTTGCCAAGGTTGAGAAACACTGGTTTAAGGTCTCGTTTCTGGGGCTGTTTTGTGCAAACCAGTGGAAGCTGCCTCTGCTTTTAAGGGTGCAGAGAATTTTGTCTTGCAAAGCTTCAGCCCAGAAGCCCTCTCCCCATTTGAAGAGAGGGCAAGGAACCATTAAGACATTCACTGTCCCTGGGATGCCCTTCCTGCTTCACCCTTTGCAAAAAGCCAGAACATCCTGCAGGTTGTAGCTTTGGGCCTTCAGAAGGCTATTTAGGCTCTGTGATCAGGAGGAAGAGGTAAGAAAGGGGCAGGAAAGATACTGGAGAAATAGAGGAGAGGAGAGAAACCAAGTTAATAGGAGCTGAGAGGGGAGAATTTAGAACTGGTCAGAGAGAGAAACTTATGGGAAAAATTTAAAAGATCCACGCTAATCCTGGCCAAAGAACCGGGCTGGGTTGGGTTGAGTACCTATTTCCCATGAAAGCTGTCTGAGAGAGGGCAGGAAAATGGGGTATTAGAGGTGGGTGAGATAATGCGCAAGGCCTTAAGCAGAGCCCTGAGGCCTCCTCAAGCCACAGCTCACAAATTCAGCACCTTCCTCCCCCCAGTGGCCTACAAAGAGCCTTTGGACAGGATAGGGGTGCGAGCTGTGTGTGTGTGTACTTGCACCACGCCAACTGGTGTGGAGCCGAAAGATTTCGCAGCCAGTGGTGCTACCCATCCCTGGATTAGTGTCCAGAGGTGATTCATCACGAACAGATACCCTGGCAGAAGCATGTCTGAGCCAGGATCCAGTCCATCAGCTATTTAAAATGCCTGAGAAGAAGGAACTCTGTTTACAGGACACAGGTGTGACACGGCCCAGTGAGGGTGCCACGGCTGCTGCGCTGCCACGCCCAAGAAACAGCAAGGACAAACAAGCCCACAGACCTAATTGTAAACTTCCAAAACACTTTTGAGTGATAGGCACCAACCTTCCAGATACGTTGGTTGAGAAGGATGGGAGTAAACACATCCATGGGCAAGAAATTGGGAAGAGCTGGCGTAGATTGGTAGCGGACAGCAAGACAACTTCCAGCATCTTTGTGGAACCCAGGTTTGAAAATGGCATTATTCTAAGCCAGTGTTTCTCAACGTCGGCAAGTTTAAGATGGGTGGACTTCAACTCCCA